AATAGGCACGTCCGCGGGCGGAGCACGTTCCCAGCTTGGGGCGGGGCTTCCTGCGGTTTGCGCCTTTCGGGTTCGCGGAAAATAGGACGCTGCGTGTGGAGAGGCCAAACTCCAACCAGCCCGGGGAGGCCGCTCCTCTGCAGGCTGACCCCGGACCAGGCGGTCGCGGTGCGGTTGTGACCTCCAGGGGTCAGGTGACTGCGGACCCGCTATCCGCACGTTTGCACCCCGCGCTGACCGCCTGCCTCCCTCCTGGCTGGCCTGGCCATTGTTGCCCCGGAGCACACGCAGTCCACGGACAGACCTGTCCCTGCTTCTGCCCCACAGCTTCCAAGTGCCAGATGATGGAGGAGCGCGCCAACCTGATGCACATGATGAAGCTCAGCATCAAGGTCTTGCTGCAGTCCGCTCTGAGCCTGGGTCGCAGCCTGGATGCAGACCACGCCCCCCTGCAGCAGTTTTTCGTGGTGATGGAGCACTGCCTCAAACACGGGCTGAAAGGTGAGCCTGGGGCGCCCGGGTCACAGCATGTATCCCTGAGCAGTGCTGTCCGATAAAAGTACTCATGCAAGCCAGATGTGCAATTTGTTAAAAAATATACTTTTATTGATTTCAGAGAGGAAGGGAGAGGGAGAGAGAGGATGAAAGAGAATCATTGATCGGCTGCTTCCTGCACGCCCCCACTGGGGATGGGGCCAGTAACCCAGGCATATGCCTTTGACTGGAATTGAACCCCAGGATCCTTCAGTCTGCAGGCCGACGCTCTATACACTGAGCCAAACCAGCTAGGGCCAGTTTTTAATGTTTTAGTACACATTTTTTAAAATTAAAAGAAACAAGTAAAATTAGTTTTAATGATATATTTTATTGAACTGAATATATCCAAAATATCATTGTGATACATAATCAGTATTTAAAAGCCTTATTAATGAGATATTTTGCCTTCTTTTTTATACTTAGGCTTAAAAATCCGCTGTTTTACATTTACAGCATGCCTCAATTGCACCAGCATTTGAACAAGCGTTCAGTAGCACATGTGGCTAGTGATAACCTTGGACAGCACAGTTCCAGACCAGGAGGTGGATGATAAACGCAGCAACAAACCAACATAATTATAAAATGCTACAAATCCAAGGAAGCAAAATGGGTTAAATGATAGAGAATCAAAGAGAAAACCTTTCAGCTGGTAAAAGGGGACAGTTTTTCTGGGGAGGTGTCTCCCAGCTGAGACATACAGGACAGGGAGCAGTCAATCATGTAAAGATTAGGGGAAAGCAAAAATCAGAAACAAAAAACAGGGTAAGGGCCCTGCGTGGGACCACCCTTGGCTGGAGGAAGAGGTCAGGTAACTCTGGGTGCTGAGAGAGGGAAGGAGGACGGCTCGAACATGTAGGCCTTTACGGGTGAAGACCGGGGTTTATTCTAAGCCCGGGGAAAACATGACCCGACTTCCACTCATAAAAGACCCCAGCAATGTGGAGTGCGGGTTGAAGGGTGACAATATTAGGAGCAGGGAGGCTCATTAGGAGGTTTTTGCAGCAGTTCAGGTGAGGAGGGTGGTGATGTCCATTCAAAATTAAGTATTGATTTTGGCATCAGGTAGGAAGGAGAAAGGGGAAGGATTTCACAAGGGATCACGTTTTATCTCATGGGCAGTAAACAACTCGGAGGAAGAGCATAGTAGGTGCATCAGGGAATCCCTGTTTCCAGAGAAGGGAGAGCTCATTTGTTACTTGGCCTCGCCCAGTCCCCAAGGCTAACCCTGAAGGATTAAGCAGAAGGATTAAATGTGAAGCATTTATTTGGCTTTTGGAAGAGAGACCACAGACCCCTGAAGACATTTGCCACCTGTTCTTATGACTAACACTTTGTTTTCCCTTTTAGTTAAGAAGAGTTTTATTGGCCAAAATAAATCTTTCTTTGGTCCTTTGGAGCTGGTGGAGAAACTTTGTCCAGAAGCATCAGATATAGCCACTAGTGTCAGAAATCTGCCAGAATTAAAGTGAGTAAGAAGTCATTACACTGATTTGATATTTAGAAAAACTTACCCATTTCTCAATTCCTTGATGATAAAACATTTTCTAATTTAAAACAAAGTGCATGAGCCACATTCAGGGACAGTGTCTGGCTGGCATGGCTCAGTGGTTGAGTGTCGACCCATAAACCAGGAGGTCACGGTTGGATTTCCAATCAGGACACACACCCAGATTGCAGGCTCGATGCCCAGTGGGGGCAGGGGGACGGGGGCGTGCAGGAGGCAGCCAATCAACCGATGATTCTCATTCATCATTGATGTTTCTCTCTCTCCCTCTTCCTTCCTCTCTCTGAAATCAATTTTTAAAAAAAAAGGAAGAAAAATTTAAGTATTAAACTGTACATACTGTTCTGTAGGCTTTTTTCCATTTCATATTAGATTTTAGACCTCTTTCCACGTCAGATACTCATCACTTTTGAAATGGGCATAGCTTTATGTTCTCTAGCTCATATGCTTAACGCCCCTTTGGGCTTCGTAGCTGTCTTCCAGTGCTCATTCTCCAAATAGTGCAGTGGTGACCATCCCCAAACACCCCCCTGTACATTCTGGTCACTTCCTGAGGCTGTGTTCCTGGATGTAGGCTTTGGGTAGCCAGCCATCACCAAGCTGCCTGCCGGAAGCGTTGTGACAGTTACCCCCCCACTGAGCAGCCTGTGTTAGTGTCCATTTTCCCAACATTAAATCCCATCATTAAATACCTCTCCCCCCACATTATTGTCTTTCCTTTTTACTCTGGTTCTTTTTTCCCTCATCATTTACTTGTGGGGTGGTGGTGGTGGAGTTACGGGGGTGCTCAGAGCCTTTTGTATTGATGAAGTTAGATGAGCCCTGAGGTCCCTGGGGTGCACAGCCAGGCTGTGGCCCTAAGAGCGCGCTTGGGTGCGAACACTGATGACAGCAGGGCCTCTGTACTCCTGAGTCTGTCACAAATGCACTTACTCTGCTTAAAGAGAATCTTGTTTTCCTGAAACAGTGTGAGGTCTATAGCAGGGAGGCTTTTGTTCCTTTTTTAATGTTTAAAACAGGCCTTTCCAAGTTTGCATCTTTGAGATTGGTTGCACAACAATGTGAATGCACTTAGCATTACCAACCAATACACTTAAAAAGATAAATTTTATTTTATATGTTTTCTACCACAATTATTTTTTTTAAATATATTTTTATTGATTTCAGAGAGGAAGGGAGAGGGAGAGAGAGATAGAAACATCCATGATGAGAGAGAATCATCAATTGGCTGCCTCACCCTAGCTAGTTTGAGACAACCAGCCTAGCCTAGGGGTCCCCTACACCTAGCCTAGGGGACCCCTAGCCTAGCCTGAGGACTGAAGGGTTTGGGTTCGATTCTGGTCAAGGGCACATGCCCGGGTTGTGGGTTTCATCCCCAGTGGGGAGCGTGCAGGAGGCAGCCGGTCAATGATTCTCTCTCATCATTATTGTTTCTATCTCTCTCTCCCTCTCCCTTCCTCTCTGAAATCAATAAAAATATATTTAAAAAAAATAATTGTGGTAGAAAACATATACCCCACATGGGGATTGAGCCTACAGCCCAGGCATGTGCACTGACCAGGAATCGAACCGTGACCTCCTAGCTCATAGGTCAACGCTCAACCACTGAGCCACGCTGGCCAGGCCAGAAATTATTTTTTAATTGCATCTTTGAGCTAATGCCTCAGAAACCTTGTGAGACTTCAACACTTTAACAAGCACTGACGATGTTGTGTATTAATCTTTGAAAGAATATTTATCCATTCTACAAAGCTAATCTAATATTTCCTGGTTCCTGTGAAATTTTATCAATATACACAAAGTTTTATCTGATTATATTTGTTCCAGGAATCAAATTTTGTGGCTTAAGATTTTTTTCTTTTTTTGTCAAAATAAAGAAACACACATGCCCATGATACAAAATTCAAACAGTACCCAGAGGTGTATAGTGCCTTCCCTGACACTGTGCTCCCTCGACCCCAAGCAGCTATTCTTACAGAGTTCTCTGTATTCACAAGCAGGAATGTGTGTATCTCTTGAGCTAACTTGTCTTTTTGTTTGGTTTTATTGTTATTATCCTGTATAATAAAAGGCTAATATGCAAATCAACCAAACGGCAGAACGACCAGTTGCTATGATGTGCACTGACCACGAGGGGGCAGATGCTGAACGCAGGAGCTGCCCCTGGTGGTCAGCGTGCTCCCACAGGGGGAGCACTGCTCAGCCAGAAGCCGGGTTCACAGCTGGTGGTGGCAGGAGCCTCTCCCGCCTCCATGGCAGCACGAGGAGCTGGCCTAAGCTGTCAGTTGGACATCCCCCGAGAGCTCCCGGGCTGCGAGAGGGCACAGGCGGGATGAGGGTCCCATTACCCCTGCCTCCCCCCCCCCCAAGTGCACGAATTTCATGCACCGGGCCTCTAGTTATGCCATAACAGTTTGATTCTCTGTTTGAATTCTAGGACAGCTGTGGGAAGAGGCAGAGCTTGGCTTTATCTCGCACTCATGCAAAAGAAACTGGCAGATTATCTGAAAGTGCTGATAGACAATAAACATCTCTTAAGGTAGTTCATCACCTATCTTTGCTTGTGTTGCTTAAATTAAAATAAGAGTCTATAATGTATAGAGCTTTTATTCAAATTATTATTAATCATAAATATTTTCTGACTTAGTTTTAAAATAGTACTGTTTTATTTTTTTGAGCACTGATATCTGAAAGTTGATATGAATGACTGAAGATTTATATTACTTTTCATTTTTAAAAGTCATTTTAAAGATAATTCTTCAAAAATACCTAAGATTAGGTAGTTGACAGTATACTCCATTAAATTTCAGCAAAATTGTATTTATTAGATTGGATAATAACAGGGAAAAATTACTTTAGAACTAAATGCTTTTTGTAAATCTTACCTATTTTAGGATTCCATATCCAATTTATAAAATTTTATCTTTTAGCATCAGTAAAGACTGACTGGCTATCTCTGAAATTTGACTGGCTCATATATTTTTTTTTATATATTTTTTATTGATTTCAGAGAGGAAGGGAGAGGGAGAGAGAGATAGAAACATCAATGATGAGACAGAATCATTGATTGACTGCCTTCTGCCCACTCCCTTCTGGGGATCGAGCCCGCAACCCGGATATGTGCCCTTGACTGGAATCGAACCTGGGACCCTTCAGTCTGCAGGCCGATGCTCTATCCACTGAGCCAAAGCAAGTAGGGCTGACTGTTTCATATTTGATATTTATAACTATAAGCAAAAATAGTCATTATGAAAAGAATTTTCTCTAGAATATGAGAATTCATAAGGGAAGAATCTAGAGTTAATTCTCTTATCTAATTGAGATAAAAATATATTTTACAGTATGGCCTGCTACTCCAAATTTTTCATTGTTTTCAAGTCATAGTTTATTGTTGAATATTCTTTACATGATAAATACTGATTTCAAGTATGTCATGTCCTTTGTACTCTGAGCACAGTTACGCTGAGTAACTTTGAGTTACCGATTTTGTCTAAAAAACTGATTCTTAAGATAGTAAGTTCTCATGCACACACACACACACACACACACACGATGGTAAATTAGCAGATCAGTGGTGACCAGAAGCAGTCAGAGACAGGGGCTGAAGTCCCACTGCAAACAGCCACGGTGGCTGCGGTCAGGAAGTAGGAGCAGCCAGTATTGCTCCATGTGACATGTGGGAGAGGGAAGCATTTTATTCTTGGGTGTGGGAGTTGTTCTCAGCAATATGGAAAAGGAGCCTGTAGGGACAGAGGGGGCAGAGTGATGGTCAGGAATGTAGGAGCCGAGAGGAGATGAGAAGGGCTGGGGTCCAGGGTCCAAATGGCGGAGTTCACCATAGACCAGAGGCAGGAGGAGCCCCCTCTAAGCCATAAGGGAAGAGAGGCCAGAGAGAAGCAGCGACTGGCAGCAAGAGAGGGAATGAAAGGCGGAAGGAACTTCACACAAGGGAGCTGCTGGCAGTCAGGCCATGAGCTGAGAGGTGGAAAGGCAGGTTGGGGTGGGGAGAGGGGTGGGGAGGACGTTCCTGAATGGCTCCCCTGGCCACCAATCTCTTGCAGTGAGTTTTATGAGCCAGAGGCATTAATGATGGAGGAAGAGGGGATGGTGATCGTCGGTCTGCTGGTGGGACTCAATGTTCTTGATGCCAATCTCTGCTTAAAAGGAGAAGACTTGGATTCTCAGGTAAAGTGGGGATTTGGATCCTGACAGAATAACTTCTCAAGGCCAGGGATTTTATGTAGGACCTGCAGACAGTGCTGAACCTCAGACAGGCACCAGGGGTGTCTGACGAAGGCTGTGCTGGGCGGGGGTAGGCAGGGAAGCACTGGGGAGGTGAAGAACGCTGGGCAGGGGCTCACAGAAAGCACCCATGCTTGTGAGCAGGACGAGCTCTCCAAGGCTGGAGCCCAGAGGCCCACAGGGAGGTGAAGGTGAAGGTGAAGTGAAGGTGAAGGCTGGGTTCAGACGCTGGGCCACCAGTGCCAGGCTAAAGGCTTTCACATGGTCCTTTGAGCTTTGAGAAGCTCTTGGAGGTTTTTAGCCAGTGAAACGACCAGGTCAGAGCTTGAGAACAATCAGTCTCACATCCAGGCCATGAGTTAGAAGTGGCCAAGAAGAGACACAGCAGAACATTGAGCGGACAAGCCTACAAGTCCCAGAGTTTGGATGAGGGGTGGGGAGATAGAGTCAGGAGAGGTTTGGGAAGTCAGGTTGATAAAATGGGGCACAAATGAAAGTGGTAAGTAAGGTACAGAGAGGTGGGGCAGCCGCTTAGGATGGGAGCAGGTGACCAGGGCTGAGGCCTAGACTCCTGGTGTCTGAGCGGGACAGGCACCCTGACCTGTTCCTCCCGTGACCCCTCTTCAGGGCAAGAAGGGCCTTCTGCCACCACGTGTTTGGACCTGAAGGCTTTAAAGCTCCCCTAACCCTCCACGCCCAGGTCAGCTTTTTTTCCCCCCATAGTTTTGTTGTTTTTGCATATTGAACAAATTTTTTTAAATGCAGAGGTATATTTTTACCCTAGCTGGTTTGGCTCTTGGACTGAAGGGTCCCGGGTTCGATTCCAGTGAAGATCCTGGCTGTGGTCGGGGTGGGTGTGGGAGACAACCTATCAGTGTGTATCTCTGACATCAGTGTTTCTCTCTGTCTCTCCCCCTCCCTTCCCCTCCTCTAAAAATTAATGGAAAAATACCCTCAGGTGAGGATTAACAAAAAAATCCAATAAATAAATAAATACAGAGGTGTATTTTTGAAAAGAAACTAAATATCACACATAATCCCATTACTCAGAGATACCTAATTCAGCGTTACATTTTGGTATATATTCTTCCAATCCCCGAATAAGCAGGATGTGTGTATGTATGTGTGTGTGTATTTTAGAGAGATGTTTGGAGTTGTTTTGTTTTTTATCAAAATATGGTATTTAAAGCACACTATGGTAATTTTTTTAAAGAACATATCCCACATAGCCCCCAGTGTCACTGACGATGTAAGGCATTTTAAGTGGCTGCATAGTATTCCATTTTATGATGTACCATATTTATGTAACCAATGCTTATTAACTTAGGTTGTTTCCATTTTTTAACAACAATATCATAAACAGCCTCATACCTCTTTGTACTCTTGTCCAATTATTTCCCTAGGATAAATTTGGGGATTGTTTGTTGAAGTATGCACATTTTGGTGTCACGATGAACACCAGCAAAACATTTTTTTTAATAAGATTTTCATGTTTCTGGAAGAATTGAATCATGGGCATATATTGAACCAGTGCTACACATTTGGGAATCTATCCATCTATTTTCTTTTTTTAAATATATTTTTATTGATTTTCGAGAGGAAGGAGAGGGAGAGGGATGAGAATGAATCATGTATCGGCTGCCTCCTGCATGCCCCCTACTGGGGATGGGGCCCAAAACCCAAGCATGTGCCCTTGACCGGAATTGAACCCAGCCGGAGTCTGCAGGCCGATGCTCTGTGCACTGAGCCAAACCAGCTAGGGCACGGTGAGCATTCTTGGTCTTTTTCAATCTGATAGACAAAGCAACTGTTCTCAAGTTTACAGTTTTGAGAACTAGGGAGGTCAAGTATTTTTTCTTTTTATTTTTTTATTGATTGATTTGAGGGGGGGGAGAGAGATTGATTTGTTGTCCCACTTATTTATGCATTCATTGGTTGATTCTTGTATGCGCCCTGACTGGGCATCGCATCTGCAACCTCGGCATCTTGGGGACGATGCTCTCGCTGACAGTTTCCTGGCCAGGTCAAGTGTTTTTTTCATGTTTTATTTGCCATTGATGGTTCGGCTTTTGACTACCTGATTATATCCTTTTCCCATTTCTCTGCGTTTTTCATCCTTTGTTCCCCCCTGATTTCTCAGAGCGGATTTTCTCTGTAGAAATTTTTTGGGGCAATCAATTTTAATGGATTTTTCCTTTGTACTTTTTAAGGTATTGTGCTTAGAAAGTCCTTCCCCACCTAAAAATTATTTTTTAAATCAACTGTGTATTTTTTACATTTAAATAATCTCCCTGTCATTTGTTTTAACATAGTGTGCAGTATGAGTCTAGATTTCTTTACTAGTGGTAAACCAATTTTCTGAATATCATGTGTGATACATTATTTTTCTACTAATTTGAAATTCCATGAGGACCAGGGTTCTTCACACTTTCAGGGTATCTTTTTTCCTGCAAATTTTGGACCAAAGTTTTCTATTTTTCGTCTGCCTCTTACGGTGGGACAGCAGCCCTTCGAGTCTCAGCTGTCTCCTTTACCTTGTGCAGCCCTGCATTCACCGGTGCTAGGGGCTTCCCTCTGCACAGACCAGCCTTCATGCTGGCTGGCCCCGCCCTCTTCTCTGTGCCTGGAACCCTGAGCTTCCATGTCTGGGTGGAGACAAGGGTATAAACATTTATTTTATTTTATTTATTTTTTTAGGGTACAAATATTTATAATTTTTTAAATTTCTTTATTGATTATGTTATTACATATATGTCCTTATCCCCACATTACCCCCAATTCCCCCCACTTATGCCCTCACCCCCCTGTTGTCTGTGTCCATTGGTTAGGCCTATATGCATGCATATAAGTTTATAAATTTTTATACATTACAAGACATGAGGGGCAGCAAAGGTAGTTTTTTATGGTGACATGGATGTGTATTTTGATACCAGCTCTTACAGGCTCAGTACTGTTATGTGGAGGGAAGATGGCACATTCCACTGCCCGCCTGATGACTTGTAATGTGGAAAGAACTGAATTCCGGTGATTTTATAGCAACTTTGCTTTTCCCCAGGCTTTCTGTTCATGTTGTTGAAGGCAGTTTGGCCAGTCTGTACTGGATTTTGAATAAACTCTGTGTCCTGAAAAAAATAAAATAAAGAAAATCTATCTTTATCATGTGTGAAATATCTAAAATACACTGAAGTTTATTTCTGGACTCTGTTAGTCTCTGGATCTCTTTATTCCTACGCCAGTAGCACAGTCTTTTAATTTCTAGGGCCATATGTGTTGTTGTTGTTTTGCTTTTGGTTTTTATTTTAATCCTCACCTGAGGATATTTTTCCCATTGCTTTTCAGAGAGAGCAGAAGGAAGGGATGGAGGAGGGGAGAGAGAAACATCAATGTGAGAGAGATACATTGACTGGTTGCCTCCTGCACGTGCCCCAATCTGGGGCAGGGAGTGAACCCGCATCCGAGGTTCATGCCCTTGACTGGGAATTGAACCCGCAACCCTCCAGTGCACAGGCCAATGCTCTAACCATTGAGCACACCAGCCAAGGCCTACACGGTTTGTTTTATACTCTGGTAGTTCACCTCTTGCCCACTTTTTTATACTTTTTTCAATATAGTTCAGGCTGTCCATTCTGCCAGCTCAACTTGAACACCATTTTGTCAAATTCCAAAATAAAGATTGGGAATTGTATTAAATAATAGATGTAATTGAGCCCCTGCTCTGTTCTTTAACACAGTGCCTCTCATCTGTCACCATAAAAAAGTGTGAGTGTTTGCTGTTGATGTCTGAGGAGTCCTCCATCTCATGTTTAGAAAGTATTGTTTTATTCTAATTTACTTTGTTTTTATGAAAAGTGAACATTAAATGCTAATCAAATACTGTTTTTGGCATCCATTGAAATGTCATGTTTGCTTTTAATTCATAAATATAATTGAATTAATTCACTGGTTTCCTGTGTGATATTATGCCAGCTTTCCTAAAATACGTCTCCATGCATTATTCTCTGAATGTGTTTCTAGATTTAATGCCTCTGGTTTATTGGAATTTTTGTGTTTCCAGGTATTAGTGACACTGTTCTGAATTTTCCTTCCTATACTGTCTTTGTCACTTTCCAGTGTAAGGATTGTATTAACCTCATAAAATAAGCTGGATAGTATCCTTTTTCTTGTTTTCTACAGCAGTTTGTTAGAGCAGGAATTATTTTTCTCTGAAGGCTTGCTGGTATGACCACTTCTAATACCTTTGTTGGTCCTAGTTCTTTTATCACATTAAATTTTATCTTGGCCTTTGGTTAATGTATCGGTTTCTTAAGTCTTAGAACTATTTTTTTAGTCATTTACATTTTTCCGTAAGTCATTTGTTTCATTCAGATCAATTATTATATGAGCATATTCTCTTACAGCATCATAAAATCTCACCTTCCTCACATGTAATATCGTGCACTTGCCGAATACTGATCATACTTGGTAGAGGTTAGTCTTTGTTGAACTCGAAGAAGCAGCTATTGTTTGTATTAATTCTGCTTTGGGAGGAGGATTTTATTTGCTTTCTTATCCATTCATTTCTACTTTGGATATTCTCTCTCATTCTTTCTGTTGGTTTTTTCATTTGAATATATATTTTTCTGTTATTTTTTTTATTTTAAAAGTACATGCTTCTTGAAAAAACACACATTAATTAATACAAAAGCATGAAACGTGAAATTCAAACTGCCCTTCTCCCCTCCCCTCTCCTACTCTCATCCCACAGTTAACGGTAAAAGTTGGCCGGGGAGGGAGGAGTGTCTTTCTTGAACTTTCTACTTTTTTAATGCACTTCTGTATACGTAGGTTTTGGTTCAAATTCAGTCTCTTCTGGTTTTCTCTTTCTGTGTAACAAGTCAACAGGCACATGAACAATAACACCACTGTATCGCACAGCTGGGGGTTTGGGCTCAGCAAGGCCCTTCCTCCTTTGGTGCTGGGCAGGCAGCACGAAGGCTTGCTCTTGCTGGCTGCGAGAGGCCGAGGCGGCGCCATGCGCTGGCCTGGGACAGCAGGGCTTCTTGGCCTCTCTGTCCCCAGGTGGTCTTCCTGTTTGGTGTGCAGCATGATGGCTTCAGCTTGGCCAGACTTTCACGGCAGCCCAGAATTCAAAGGTCTGTGCCCCAAGAGAAAGTGCTGGGAAGAAGCTGGTATTGCCCTCGGTAACCTGCTGCAGAAGTCAGCCATCGTTTCTGCTGCTTGCTAAAGCACATCATTTTCTTTTAACCCATGTTCCTCTTCTGCCTTGTGTACGTGCCCTGACCAGGGGTCGAACCTGCAGTCTGGGTATGTGCCCTGACTGGGAATCAAACCTGCCGCATTTTGGTCTGCAGGACAGTGCTCTAACCAACTGAGCCACCTGGCCAGGGCCTATTTCTGCTGTTTTCTAACTCATCAAGACCGGCACGAAGGCTGCCCAGGATCAAGGGTCAGGAATATGGATTAGTAGGAGGTGCTACAGAGAAGTTGCAAAAACCATCCTGCATAGCTTTGGCTTTAACACAAGTGGAATTACGATAAGGAGTTTAATGCTGTACATGTTATTCTTTGATTTAAAATTTTATCCTGGAACTTCCTTTGTGTAAATACATTTCCATCTGCTGCATTCTTTGGTATGGTTGCCTAGGGTTCTGTGATATGGCTATAAAATGGCTTTAAACATTTCTCTATCAGTGGACCCAATATTCTTATATTTCAAATAGGAATAGTTTCACATATACTGCAGTGGACGATGGCAGACAAGACCCTCACTCACTCTCTCTCAGGTGCTTTATTTCTGGACAAAACCCTTGACCTTGAGACGTGTGAGGGGTCTTCATCCTCTCTAGGTGCCCGCAGCAGCAAAGAATTTTCCTGGAATACCGATGGGCCATTTCCCCACAGTCCCGGAGCGAGGGATCAGAGTCTTAGTGAAGGTCACCGTTTTTGTCTAAAGCCTAGGTCTCTCCCTTTTTTATTACTTGGTGCCCAAAGAACTTGGTTGATCTTCTGTCAACAACTTGATTATTGAATAAATACATAAAACTAATCTAACTGGGTGGTAAAATTTCAGAATATTTCTTTAAATTCTGATTTTTAGTAAGTTTTTCTTCTACAAGGGTGTGGTGGGGTAATTTTTTTTTGACTTGTTTGTTTGATTGCTATTTTATTTTATTTTATTTATTTTTTTATAGGAAGGGGGTCTTTTGTCAGTTTCATTCACTGCTGAACCTCCAGTTCTTTTTTTTTTTTTTTAAATACATTTTATTGATTTTTACAGAGAGGAAGGGAGAGGGATAGAGAGTTAGAAACATCGATGCGAGAGAAACATCGATCAGCTGCCTCCTGCACACCTCCTACTGGGGATGTGCCCGCAACCAAGGTATATGCCCTTGACCGGAATCGAACCTGGGACCCTTCAGCCTGCAGGCCGACGCTCTATCCACTGAGCAAACCGGTCAGGGCTGATTGCTATTTTATAGAGCTGCTTAACCTAAGTATTTGTAGGAAAGAGACAGGGAAGTAAATACCGGAATTCTAAAGAGTGTAAGGTTTGTGTGGAAAGTGAGAAGGTGATTTTTTACTTAAACGTGTGTGTTTTATTTGGAACAGGTTGGAGTGATCGATTTTTCCCTCTACCTTAAGGATATGCAGGATCTTGATGGTGGCAAAGAGTAAGTACTGGATTGTATGCTGTTGTTCACATTATTAATGAAATCCCAGCAAAGAATGCTACATTTGTCTTAGCTTTGTTTGAAATTCTAGTTCTTTGTCTGTTTTGAATTACAGAGGTGATACGTTAACGTGCCCTTTGTTTGAGGAGTTGTGCACTACAGAATGCAGAGGACAAGTGGGATTTCTCCGTTCCTGCTGCCCCTTGTCTCCCTCCCCTGCCACTCCCGCTCCTCCCTCGGAGGAGTCCGCTCATGTCTCCTGTCAAGCCTTTTATTAATGCCCCACACATACATCTTTGTTAGTCATGACTTTTTTTTAATACTTACCGAGGAGCGAGGATATCTTTTCCATTGATTTTTAGAGAGAGTGGAAGGGAGGGGAGAAGGGAAGAGAGAGAAACATGGATGCGAGAGAGACACATTCATTGGTTGCCTCCCACTGTGTCCCAGCTGGGGCCGGCAATTGAACCGATAACCAAGGTATGTGCCATTGACCAGGATTCGAACCTGAAGACTGAACCGACACTCTATCCACTGAGCAAAACCAGCCAGGGCTGCTTTTATAAAGATTTTTTATTGATTTTTAGAGAGAGAGGAAAGGAGAGGGAAAGAGAGAGAAAGCAAGCATCAATTGGCTGTCTCCTACACACTCCCTACCAGGGATTGAGCCCGCAACCTGGGCATGTGCCCTGACTGGGACTCGAACCAGCAACCTTTCAGTGCAGGGATGAGGCCCACTGAACCACACTGGCTGGTGCTTTGTTTGTTTTTTTAATTGATTTGAGAGAGAGGAAGGGGGATAGAGAGAAACATGGATTTGTTGTTCTGTTTATTTATGCTTTCATTGGATGATTCTTGTATGTGCCCTGATCAGGGCTTGAACCTGCAACCTTGACGTATCAGGATATCACTTTAACCAACTGAGATACCTAACCAGGGCCATTGGTCATGTATTTTGCTATGCAGTTTGTTTGAATGTAAATGGGATGGTACTATTATATATGGAAGTTGCCCACGGAACTGTTCTTTGATCCTAATGTTATCTTTGATGTCTTTCATGCCATGTGGAACTCTCCCTCATCCTTGTTAACAAAAGCATTCTTCTAAAAAAAGTTATCCTGGCCCAGCTAGTGTGGCTCAGTGGTTGAGCATCGACCCATGAACCAAGAGGTCACTGGTTTGATTTCCGGTCAGGGCAGACGCCTGGGTTTCGGGCTTGAACCCCAGTAAGTTTTGTGCAGGAAGCAGCCGATTGATGTTATTTTTCTCTCATTGATGTTTCTCTCTATATATCCCTCTTCCTTCCTCTTTCTTTCTCTCTCTAAAAATCAATAAAAATACTTTAAAAAATTATTTTAAAAAGTTATCCTGGACACTCAGCTGATTTGGCTCAGTGTTTGAACGTTGACCTATGAACCAAGAAGTCAGGGTTCAATTCCAGTCAGGTCACATGCCTGGGTTTCAGGCTCCATCTCCAGTGGGGGCCGTGCAGGAGGCAGCCGATCAATAAGTCTCTCTCATCATTGATGTTTCTCTCTCTCTCTCCCTCTCCCTTCCTCTGAAATCAATAAAAATATCTGTATGTAAAAGCCTAAGCGACCATTACGACGGTCGACCAAACGACTGGTTGACCGGTCGCTATGATGACGCACTGACCACCAGGGGGCAGACGCTCAATGCAGGAGCTGCCCCCGGTGGTCAGTGCACACCCACAGCCAACCCCCTGCAGCTGGCCAACCTCCTGCGGTTTCTCTTCCGGGCCAGCCAACCTCCCGATCGCTGGCCAGGCCGAGGGACCCCACCCGTGCACGAATGTGCGCACCGGGACTCTAATATATTTTTTAAAAAAAGAAGAAGAAAACAAGCAACATGTAAAACCTGATACCGTTTATGTTATGATAAAAAAGAAAACACTATATATATTGTACCTCCGTACCCATGGACTGTTTCTAGAGCAGCACGTACACTTGGTAGCCATGCTGCTGGAGGGAAGAGGACAGAAGGGAGATACACTGTAAACCCTTGGGTCGTGTTTGACTGTTTTACTATGTGCGTCTGTTACCTGTAATTCAATCTTCTTTCCAACAAAGACACCTCCCTCCCCCTAGTCTCAGCACCTTGGCCGCACACCTTACCAAGAAAGGGGCCAGAGGGAACCCCATTAATGCTTAATGTACCCTAAATACAAGGATTCACCTACTTTACACTTAAAATATATTCTTTATATTTTAAAAAACTGGAAATAAAGAGGTTATCCATCAGTAAGGGAATAATTTGAATGAATGAATTATAGAACATCCATAATATTCCATGAAGACCTAAAAAAATGAGCTACTAGTATAGTTGACTTAGACTGCAGTGGTTCTCAACCTTCCTAATGCCATGACCCTTTAATACAGTTCCTCATGTTGTGGTGACCCCCAATTTCATTGTTACAAATGGAAGATAATTAAAGCATAGTGAAAGGGTCGTTTGACCCCCAAAGGAGTCGCGACCCACAGGTTGAGAACTGCTGACTTAGAGGGATTTCCACAAGGTATTATTAAGTGAGAAAAGTATGATACTGAGAAGTATATGAATACCATTTTTAAAAATCCCTAGTCCATCTTCTATATTTTAATTGCATAGTATACACACGCGCGCGTGCACACACACGATTGATAGATGATTATATGCACATAGCATATACTCCACAGGGTCAGGGTTACCTGGGAGAGTTATGTAAAGTGAAGAACGGGTGAAAGGAAAAAAGTGACCGCATTGGAAAACAAACCCCAGTACCTGTGGAATGAGCCTGTGTAGAATGATCCTACTTGTGTGCATATGTATGTGTGAATGTAAAGGAATGTGGGGGGCTAACTTTAAAATACTAAAGTCTTTTTAAAAATATACTTTTATTGATTTCAGAGAGGCAGGGAGAGGGAGAGGGAGATAGAAATATCAATGATGGCAGAGAATTATTGATTGGCTGCCTCCTGCACGCCCTCTACTGGGGATGGAGCCCGCAACCCAGGCATGTGCCCTTGACCGGGAATCGAACTGTGACCTCCTGGTTCATAGGTCAGTGCTCAACCTGAGCCAGGCTGGCCAGGGAAAGCCTTTTTTTGTTTTGTTTTTTAATGCAGACCCATCAGCTTTGTGTTTCGAAGTCGCGTGGCCTTCTTTTCTAAGCCAGCCTCCTTCCTTCAGTATAGCAAGGTGTCTTCATCTGCCACCGTGGGAGCCATTTGCATGTGGCTATTGGTGTTTCCACCTTGCATGCTCATGGCTTCCATCCTCCCAAATACCCAGCCAGTTGCGGGGGGGCGGGGGGGGGGCTGGAATGCAGGAGCCTGCTCTCCAGGCGTGTTTCCATGTCTTCCAAGGCCCCAGCTGCTGTCTCCCCCACGGCCTTGCTCTCTGTTCCCTCAGGGCCATGTAGACAGTACTAAGCTCTCTCTCTTGGTTTCCTGGTAACATTGTTACCCCTACCAGGTGATTCGAAGGTTGAGGGACAGTTACACAGTGTCAATCCTTAGTAAAAAGAATTTCTTTCTGTGTTCTCTTAAAAGGCATGAAAGAATTACTGATGTCCTTGATCAGAAAAATTACGTGGAAGAACTGAACCGGCACTTAAGGTAAGGCTCACCCCTTCTCCAGGGTTACAGTTCGTTCTCAGTGCCGGTAATTGCTTCGTGGAACTTTTTTGAGTTGCCGTGTATTTCTAACTCACTTTCTTTCCACACCAAGAAGAAAGGTTATCATGCCATGCTCACAGGTACAGACGAGCAGTATGATGTCTTGATAAAGAGCTTTTGGGACTTCTTCAGTTCTTCGTTTTGTGCAGTTACACAGTTTAGAGCCAATAAATAAAACCTTGAGTCTCCACCCCTCCCCACAGCCACTTAAGTGAAAATCGCTGCCGTGGGGAGCATCGTTGCTGCTGGGAATCAGCACACATCCCTCCAGGTTTGGGAGCAGGAGGAAAAGGATTGAAAACCGCTGGGCGAGATCTTCGAGAGCATTCAGTAGCCACTGCCAGCATCTTTATCTTGATTTTTCATTTTAATTGGAAAGCTGCTGCTGCCGTATCTCATGAAACAGCAGTCGCTGGAGGTATTGATGGGAGAGGTGGAGCTTCCCCGAGGTCTGAACCCCCTTCAGAGCGTGCGCAGTCTCACCTCACAGGGGCGGCCTCCGGCCCAGGGGCAGGTGAGACAGCGGAGGAGCTGCCGCATCCCTCAGGACGGACCTGGGGAAGTGCTGCTCTCAGCTCGCCTGAAGTGTGATGCTGGCTGTTACTTTGAAAGAAATTCTTGATCATTTCCTAGTTTATTGAGAGTTTTTATAAGGAATGGGTGTTGAATTTTTGGCATCCAATAAGATAATTGTGACTTTTCTCCCTTAATCTGTTGATGTGATCTATTTGATTCATAGATTTCTTCATCCTGAGCAATTCCCGGATCATAGAAATAAACTCTTCTTGATCCTAGCTTTAAAATTTAATTGTTCTCTTACCAGGGAACTTGACCTAACTGTCCTATAGTTCTCGCCCTCTAGCGCAGCGGTCGCCTACCGGTGGTCCGCAGACCGCTGGCGGTCCCTGAGGTCCGAAAGGTTGGCGACCGCTGCTCTAGCGAGTTAGTGAGGTTGTGCAGCTTCACGAAGCAAACCGGAAGCTCTGCGTTGGCTCTGTGCCTGGGAACTGGACGCCTCCTAGTCCATGAGCGTTACTTGCTCTCGGATGCTGGAAGCTCAGAGCCTGGACGCAGCCAGTGTATCATTTTCCCTTAGTTGTTAATTCATCTAGGTTTTCTTCTCTGGAGGATCTGTCTTTTTGGGTAATTTATGTTTCCTAAGAAAAATGTAAATGTTATTAATATTTTCTAAGCTATATAATTGGTATAGAGTTGACAGTTGTCGACTCTTAAACTTTTAGTTCCCTTTATATCATTTGCTTTGTTGCCTTTTTCATTTTGTGTCCTTGTGTTTTTATTTTTCTTCCACCCAGTTCTTTTTGGGGTGGGGATGAATCAAACCCTTTTATTGGGGGATTTCAGGGGAGGGTCAAAGGGCCGGAAGGACAGGCAGGTCCGCCATCCTCAGCCTGGCGGGATCTCCCCGCTTCCCTGTTGCTGAAAAGCTCCCTCCCAGTTCTTGAGCCCTGGTTCTCTAGCCTTGTGGGGAGTGTGGCTCGGTCCCCGCACGGGCACAAGCAGCAGGTTGGAGTCGGGCCCGTTGTCTACAAGTGCAGGCTCTGAGGCCGGACGGCCTGGCTTCAGGCGCGGCGCCCCCTCATCGGGGTTGAACTTGAGTAAGTCTTTATAAAGTTATGGTTTTCTTGTCTGTAAAATAGGTTAATAAAATTTACCTCACACAATTGTGGGAGGATTATATGCATTTAAAGTGCTTATAGCAAACAGGCCTGGCACATTGTCCAAACAGAAAGAAACTATGTACTGTGATTTCTGTGGTTGTTACTAGTATTGTCTATCAGGTCTTCTTTAGCTCTTTACATGTTTTTCAGTAGAAAAGTAGTACATAGTACTTAAAGAATATTTGAAAAATGGGGCAAAGTATTACAAGATTTGCCCGGCCAGCGTGACTCAGTGGTTGAACGTCAGTCTATGAACCAGATCACAGTTCTATTCCAGTCAGGGCACTTGCCTGGGTTGTGGGCTTGATCCCCAGTAGGGGGCATTCTGGAGGCAGCCGATCAATTATTCTTTTTCATCTTAGATGTTTCTCTCCCCCTTCCTGCCCGAAATCAATAAAAATATGTATTTTTTAAGTATTACAATATTTATTATAAATGACCTTTGATCCTACTACCCAAAGTACCAGTGTCTTGTTACGAATATTACATTAGATATATGACTGCCCATGCATTTAGTTCCCATTTACTGTGTTGGGAAGAAAACATGGAACACTTTTTAACAAGTGTACAGCACACACACGCGTACCTAGAATTGTCACCCGAATTTATTGGAGGCCCTTTGACTCCACTTTCTGCAGGAAACGTAGGCATCGCTGTTCTCGTTGTTCACAGTTGAAAAGGAAGTCAGCCTTTTAAGTTCACATTTTCTTGATATTGTGTTTCCCATAGCTGCACAGTTGGGGATCTTCAAACCAAGATAGATGGCTTGGAAAAGACTAACTCAAAGCTTCAAGAAGAGGTTGGTAACTTACTGAAATTCTTACAGCAGAATGGCCTGCGGTTAAGGAAATGGTGTAGTCCGTGCCCCCGACCAGAGCTGCTTGCTGGCGGCACTGAATTGCTGGCCTGGGTTGAGCTGCACGTGGGACAGGCATTCTCAGATTTCACATCCTCAGAATGTGCTCTGCCCTGACGGCTCCCGTGAGCCAGTCCTCACAGGACTCGTCCTGGAAAAGCTCAGCCCCTGTGAGCGGCTCTCCTCCTCTCGCACGTTTCCTGGGATGCGGTTCATCTCCCTGCTGCCCAGCCGGCACGGACTCTTCCGAGATAGACCGCAGCCCGCCCACTCCTGTGTGTCGGCCTCAGAAGCTGGGACCATCTTCCCACAGTGTGGTCTTTCCCTGCTTTCTCGCTAGGAAGAGAGAGGATGAAAGGACAGGAGGAAGGAGGGGTGACCAAGGGAGCCAGCCGGCTCCGGGTGGACACATCTGTCTCCCGTTAGCAGGAGGGGGTGGCTGAGCCTTTCTGAGGCTCCCACAGCGGGGGGAGGAGGGCTGTGAGGGCGCCCAGCGCGGACCCCGCACGGTGGAGGCAAGTTACCGCCAAAGTGAGCGTCGCAGGCACAACTTAGCGCGGAGGTCCCAGTGCCGGCTCCGTGGAGACGGGCCTGCTCTCCTGAGGGGCAGCCTGAAACCCGTTCAGGGGAGCAGCCGGTCTGTGCGGGGAGAGCCAAGGCGGCCCTCACAGCAGGCCTCGCAGGAGAGACCGGCCGCCTGGACCAGGCTCGCCTTCCCCCTGGGTGGCTGGGCCTTGGGGCCTCCGCTGAGGGGCAGGTGTGAGTGCTCATCGCCACACTGGGTGGTGATCCGCACCGCGCTGTGGTAAAGAGCACGTTGGATTCACAGCGTCGAATGTGCCTCCTGCGGCCGCGGCCTGTGGAGGGCAGTGGAGACGGTCGCCGATAGCACAGCCCCAGATCCGGTTTTTCCCCCAGACGAGGGCCTGCTGGGCAGGAGGGTCTGTTTACCTTCTGAAACTAAATGACTGGGTGTGTTTTTCCCAAAGGCAAACAATTGTATTAGAAAATGCCCTTTAGGAGAGCGTACCTCTCTTCGTGGTGTGCCCTCTGCCTCTTCAGAGAGTGGAACGGGCATCAGCTCATGGCTTTGGCCCGTGTCCTCCCTTCTAGCAACTGGCACCTCCTTCAGAGCCTTAAAGTTTCTCCTGTGGGCGCAGCTGTTGTGTTTACAAACCCCAGCTCTGGATTCTGAGTCCGAGTGAACTTAGACGCTCTTGGCGAAGAGATGAAGAGCTCAGTGCTTCCAGGCCCCCATCAGTTAATGATGCTAAGAGCACAGCCAGGACCAAGGGCAGACGCCTCGCTCCTTTCTCCTCCAGCCTCACCTCCTCTCTCCAGGCTGTGTTCACACCTTGGATAAGGAGGGCTCCGTGGGTGTACCTCTAAACTCCAAGTCGTTCAAGGCGAGGAAGATGTCTTCCTCAGGTGTGGTGGTGATGCCTGCCCCCGAGTGCTTTAATTCCCCCTCTCTCATTGGCTAGAGAAACTGAAAAGAACAAAGAATTAGGAAAAAAATTGAATCCCTTGGCTAAGTGACAGCTATTTTTATCATGTGGTATATATATTTTTAAGTATTTTTAGCACAGTAGATTTTTTTAATTAAGTGGTGAGAAAATACTGTATAACTTATTTTATTTTCATGTTGGTTTTATAAGTATGTTCTCAAATTATTAACAGCTTTTGTAAACTTTTCAGTCATGACATATTTCTACTATATGCTTCCATTTTAATTTATTAAACTATTTCTTTAATGTTCAAACTATTTCTAATATTTTGTATCCATAAATCTTTGGCCCCATTATGTAGTATGCTATTACTTTTATAAAACAAGAAAATTGGGAGAGGGCAGAGATAGCTAGAGGCAGGAGTGGGAGAGATTTTTATCATACATATTTTTATATCTTCTAAATTTTGTACCATGTGAATGTATTACCTATTCCAGTGGTTCTCAATCTTCTGGCCCTTTAAATACAGTTCCTCATGTTGTGACCCAACCATAAAATTATTTTCGTTGCTACTTCATAACTGTAATGTTGCTACTGTTATGAATCCTAATGTAAATATCTGATATGCAGGATGGTCTTAGGCGACCCCTGTGAAAGGGTCGTTTGACTGCCAAAGGGGTCGCGACCCACAGGTTGAGAACCGCTGACCTATTCAAAACAAAGAAATAAAATAAAAAATAAACGATCAGCCCTGGCCGGTGCGGTGCAGTGATTAGAGCATCAGCCTGCCCACCAAAGAGTGGCAGGTTCGATTCCCGGTCAAGGACACATACCTGGGTTGCAGGTTCAATCCCAACCCCAATCAGGGCGCCTGTGTCTCTCACATCATCATTTCTCTCCCTCTCTCTCTCTCTCTCTCTCTTTCTCTTTCTCGTGTTATGAATTCATTGACCTTAGGGACTGCACCTGGCCCTCTCCCCCCCCTTCCACTCTCTCTGAAAGTCAGTGGAAGAAATATCCTCGGTTGAAGATTAACCAAAAATAGATAGATAGATAGATAGATAGATCGATAAAACATGGATGAAAATAAATTGTTGGTTGTGAAGATGACAAATGTTAGACTTTAATTTGAACAGTAAGATTCATTTTGATGTTAAGAAATACAAAAATCTTTCTTAATCAGCTTTCAGCTGCAACAGACCGGATTTTTTCACTTCAAGAAGAACAGCAACAATTAAGAGAACAAAATGAATTAATTCGTGAAAGAAGTGAGAAGAGCGTAGAGGTGAGAACCTGACCGGGCAGTTGGCATGTTTCTCACGCGGACGTGTCCATCACAATCTCAGGCTCATAGACAGCGCCTCCTGCCACCGCCTCCTTTGTCACGCTCAGGCCAGGCGACCCACCTGGGTTTCCCACGCACCCTGCTCCCTCCCTCTGGGCCTTTTGCACACGGAAGTTCCTATTCACTCCTCTTCAGCTCCCACTCCTGAGCTGGGTCCCTGTGATGCCATCCCTCGTGCCAACCCCAGCGCCCATCAGGGGGCTTGGGCCCTCCTCCGTGTCCCCACAGCTCTTTGCGCCTCCCTCCTCTGTAGAATCTGTTGTTTGGTAGAATTGCTGGCTTGCTCACTTGATAATTTGAAGATAGAGATCATATCTGATTCTTCTCAGAATTCATCCAGTGCTAAAAACATGCTCAATAAACACAGAATGGTGAGTTGAATGGGGCCTTCCCCACTAGGAATGATTGTTCTGTTTTAAAGAAAAGTAAATTTCGCTCTAGCTGGTGTGGTTCAGTGGATAGAGCGTTGCCTGCAGACCAAAGGGTCTCTGGTTCGATTTTAGTCAAGGGCACGTACCTTGGTTGCAAGCTCTTCCCTGGCCCTGGCCCTAGTTGGGGCACATGAAGGAGGCAACCAATCGATGTGTTTCTCTCACATGGATGTTTCTCTCTGTCTTTCCCTCTCCCACTCTCTCTAAAAAAATAATCAATGGAAACATATCCTCTGATGAAGATTAACAAAAAAAAAGAAAGAAAAGTAAATTTGTTTTCTGAACCTACATTTTCTTTTTTAAAAATCTATTGACTTGCCCTAGCTGGTTTGTCTCAGTGGATAGAAAATCGGCCTGCAGACTGAACGGTCCCAGGTTTGATTCCAGTCAAGGGCATATGCCTGGTTGTGGGCTTCATCCCCAGAGTGGGGTGTGCAGGAGGCAGCCGATCAATGATTCTCTCTCATCATTGATGTTTCTATCTCTCTCCCTCTCTCTTCCTCTCTGAAATCAATCCTATATAATAAAGAGCTAATATGCAAATGGTCATCACGCCCTCAGGCCGTCACACTCAGACACTCAACACTGGGGAGAGGGGATTGGGGACCAGCCCAGCACAAATGAGCTTTCGAGAGAGGAATGGGGTCCAGCCAGGCACAAATGAGCTCGTGAGAGAGGAATGGGGACCAGTCAGGCTGTGGCCCAGGAGAGGGACAAGCCACACGCCCCACGGTCCTGGGTGCCAGCGGATGCACCTGTTGCCTGGGGGAGGGACAAGCCACCTGCCCCATGATCCCGGGCGCCTGCAGCTGCAGCCCAGGTGAAACCGCCCACCCACGGTCCCCTGCGGCTGCGGCCGGCCCTAGTGAAGCCAGCCCGGGTCCTGGGTGCCTGCAACCAGCCAGGAGAGGGAATTCTGGGTCCAGGGTGTGGCGTGAGGCAGAGGCAGTTAGGGGCGAGCAGGCAGGCAGGCAGGCAGGCAGGCAGAGGGATTAGGGGCGATCAGGCAGGCAAGCGGTTAGGAGCCAGTGGTCCCGGATTGCGAGAGACAGTCGGACATCCCCCGAGGGGTCCCAGATTGGAGATGGTGCAGTCCAGGCTAAGGGACCCCCTCCATGCATGAATTTCGTGCACTGGGCCTGTAATATGTAATATATATATATACATATATATATATAAAATTACATATGTC